TTGTTTGTCATTTCTCCGATCACAAATGCAGACATGGTTTTATGTTTACCATGTAAACATATGGCGATGCAACGCAACGCGTAAAAAGACAGTATAAGTCATTATAATCAGTATGTCCCCACTGGATGCAACAAATGCCTCGTTTATAATGGGTTTTATTGGTTTTGGGGACACGGCATCATATGGTAAGGGGCGTAACATTTACGTCACATGCTTGAGGTATTCGGCCAAACACAATGCACTGGATAGCTGGCCAATCACAGCACACCTCGCTTTTCAGAACGATGAGCTTTGTAAAAATCGACTCGTTTCAGAAAGGCGGGGCATAGAGGAGAAACTATAATGTACAGTATGTGGAAAATAATGTTTTTTTTTTTTTACCTTAAACCACATAAACACATTGCATTACACCAAATACACAAAATAATGTTCTTTTTTAGCAACGTCATATGACCCCTTTAAAAAAAAATTATTCCTGTGATGCAAAGCTGAATTTTTAGAAGCCATTACTCCAGTCTTCAGTGTCAAATAATCTGTCAGCAATCATTCTGATTTGGTGCTCAAGAAACACTTCTTATTAACAGTGCTGCTTAATAATTTTGTGGAAACTATAATACATTTTCCCCAACATTCTCTGGGTAAATAGAAACCAGAGAATTAGAAATGTAATATTAGAAATGTCATTACTGTAACCTAATGCATCCTTGCTTCATTCATAAACAATAAAAAAAACTGACCGCAAACAGTAGTGTATATATATTCACATTAATGAAATGTTTGCTCAAATGTAACTGAAATGTTTATGGCTAAAACTTGTATCTTTCTGCATGTCATCGCAAACAAACTGTAAATGATTCTTTCTGACAGCACATATCATTTTTCATCAGTGTGTTATCAAGTGAGTCCATTTCCAAAATAAATTAAATAAAAGCCACAAATCCTGTTTACCGGCCAAGGGGGAAACAAACAAGTCATCTTTCATTATGTTGATGATGGCTGTCTAGATGAGCATCATGCAATATGACAATTACATAGCAAAACCTAATCTGTCCAAAGTGACACGCTCATCCAGAGAGCTGAATTCACACTCAGTCTGGAAACCTGCCACTCGCAAGATGAGTACAAAACCTGACAGCTAACGTTTTGGAGCTGGAGTACGGTACTATATCTCCAACGAAACTGACCTGAGTTCATCAGGTTACTTAGTAACTTTTTCTTATAGTAGTACGTTCTAGTTTTCAAGGGTGTTGAAGATTATTATCAGGGGCTCGCTATAAATTTTGACAGTCTAAGTTGTTGTATTGGACAAAATTAGACTTGAGTTTCAAGCATAAAATAAAATTAGAAAAAGGAGATTAAATTAAGGACCCAGTACCGAGGAAGAGAGATAAATGCAAAAGAAATATCCTCTATTCTGATCTTATATATCGGCTTTGTTTTCTGTGAACAACTACCGCTTCCCCTCTCTACGTATTGTATCTTGGCACAATACATATTAATTCATTGAGAATAGTGTTAAATATTCAGTTTGACTGATGTGTATTCCCTTAAAACCATATTTCAATAATTGTGTTGGCTACATTTTTTTGATGAGAACATAAAAACACTGTCAAAACACAAGACAACATTTGGCACAGCACTGCAGAGACATCATAAAAGACAAACACAAAAGACTAGATTGTAACCTAGATACCTAGATAAGCAGAACTGTATATTCTGATTTGTTCTGAATCATGTCTGATAATCAGTATTTATTATTTACCCATCCCTAAATGACTTTTTTGCTGAATTTTGAGTTTACATCTCGCAGTTCTGTTTTTTTTTTCTCTGCCATGAAATAAAAAAATAATACAAGGTAATTGCTGCTTTCTATCTCACAATTCGGACTTTTCTCAGGATTGTGAAAAGAGTCAGAATTGTAAGGTAAAAAGTCACAGTTACCTTTTTGATTTTTTTATCCTGTGGCAGAAACAAGCTTACATAGAAAATAGCACAACATTCTCGACATACAAACTAAACAAACAACATCTGACAACTATTCTGACACGTTATGTTCATGCACCATTTTAGCTACCACATAAACCTAAGGATGGTAATGCAGGATTCCTTACAACATTACAACCTGTGGACCAACGTACATTAGTATTCTGACATGCAGACAGGCCTGTGGTTGTTGGAGACGGCTAGGACGACGCAACAGAAAAGAAAAAAAATCTGAACTGAAATGTTACATATGTGCTTGGGAGAGGGGTATTGGGTCCATTCCTTAACACACTTACTCAGTGTCTTTGCTCCGTACCCGTCCTCCCCTATTCCAGAGATGTCCTACACCACACAGTCGATCAGAGAGGCGAGGGGGGTGAAGAGAGAGAATGAAGGAGGATGGGAGACAGAGAGACAGAGGAAGAGAGAGACAGTAAGGTTGTTGGTGGGGCGGGCAGTAACGCCAGCAGAAGAAGGAGGACATGGGCTTCCTGGAGCTACCTACACACACCTAGACCTCTCAACCCACCCCGAGGATGCGTTTGTGTGAGCGTGTGCTGTTTTTATGTACCTACGTGTGAGAGTGCACGTGCGTTTGTGGCTACTTACGCTCCGAGTCACTGCCGTCTTGCTCGTCGGCGTCCTTGTTCTTGTAGAAAGGGAACTTGCGTGAAAAGATGAAGTTCTTTCTACGTTTTTCACTGAATGACTGTGCGGAGAGAGAGCATGGTGCAAACAGGGGGCTCTAAACGCTGTCACAATCATGCTGACAAAAACAACACAACGACCGGAGCTGGACGTGAGGGACAGCAGCAAAGAAACAACCACACATCCAATTGTTTCTTATTGGCAGGACCATTCACCTAAATGAAATGAGCAATTCACTCATATTAAATACGCTAATTACATTATTTTGGGCTCGAACCGAAAGCACTTGGATGATCCTGAATAGGTGATCTTTGTTTGTTGTGAAGGCTGATCCAAACCCTGCTGTCCATGACGTCACAGCACCTGAGCTGTTTTCAGACAGCTCAAATGTATTCAAATTAAAACATGATCAATAGGAATGAACATACAAGGGAGGTAAACAATGATAAACAAAAGACAAACTGAAGCTAGTTTAGTGCCATGCAAAGGCAAATGGGACTCAACAAAAAAAAAATAAAAAAAAAAAATACTCATATTAAAAAAACAAGCATGCAGGACAGGTGCCATGCTGATCAAATGGGCAAAATCTGTGCTGCTCGTGTGTAGTATTATGATGCTCTGAAGGTGAATTGTTTTTAAAAAGGTTATGAATTGCAAAGAAAAATAAATGAGGTAACATATATGTGACTGAGGTGATTTTAAACGTGATTTTCTAGCTGATTTGGTGAACCTGAGGTCAATACACTGCCTGATATGAATGTAATTTTCCTGATAAATTACAATCTGTGATGGTGAAACCAGACTAGAATATGTCCAGATCATCCTTTACCACGAAATTAAAAGAAAAAAAAAAAAAAAAAAAATTATATGAAAATATAATTTGATGAAAAAAAAAAAAAAGATGTTGCCTTAGAAACTAATTGAAATTTTACAAAATTAA